GACAAGACCAACAAAAATTAACTAAGTTACAGAGGCTAAACTGGCTGGTTCATCATCTGAAATGGCTGAGGTGCTGTGTCCTGGAATGTTGTAACCACTTGTGTGAGACTGTCTGAAATGTCTGACAACCAATTGTCTGGGTTTCAGTTTGGTCTTTTTCAGATCACAGCTACCCAGATCTACCTGTACTGCTTTCTGTCTGTTCTTACTCACTTTTGCACTGGAATAGCATGTATGGGATTGATGGTGGTGCTTTTTGAGCACAGGTTAATAAACTTTACTATGTTTATGTCTTTTGAAAACCAATTTGCATCCTGTTGAGATCTCACTCTGAAAATTGTTTTCGACAAGTGTTTCATAGGGAACTTGATTTTAATTTCTGATAAAGATATCAAAATGTACTGATTCTCAGAAACATCCTAAATTATTTTAGGAAAACTCATAAAATTCCATACAAAGTCTACAGGAAAATCAATACATCTGGTTAATTTGTATGCCTAGATGGTAAAACCAGTATTTGCCTCTGTTGCTTTTGTTCACCATCATGGTTTTCAACATGGTTTAGTTCTTCTTTCTGTATTTCTAATGCCATACATAGGAACATGATCCACATGAGAAATAAGTGATTTGTATTGTAGAGACACCGGATTTTGTTTTAGGGCTGTAAGTACTCTAACTATGTTAGTATATGTGGGGTTTTAATTGAGAAAAAGCAGAACAAACTATTTTCTTTTAAAAACTGAGAAGGCTACCTTCTGTTATATGTCAGGGTAATGTTTAAACAAATCTAGTAAGTTCTCTCTTGGAACAAAACATCAATATATTAGTGAGTGCTTATCTGTAACACTTAGTCCTGTAAACTGTATCACAATCCCAGCTTTTCAGAAAATACCAAAGAATTACTACTTGTATTCATGTTTCAGATCTCCTTTCTTTTGTTCACCCTTGATACATAAGCTGAATTTCTGATAACATCAGCAGGAGCTGTATATACATATGTATCTTGAGAGATAAATTTAGGGTTGAATAGTTTGGTTTGGTTTTCTTTTTAATGCTTCAGGCTGCCTGGAGACTCAAGGACAAGGATAGGGTTCATAACGTTTGACAGCACTGTTCAGTTTTACAACTTGCAAGAAGGTTTATCGCAGCCTCAAATGCTGATTGTCTCGGATATCGATGGTAAGTTGAAAGAAGATGAAAACTAGATTTTTGAGGAACTACTTCCTCCTGCCCCCATTCCCTCCCCTCCCCGAAGAAAGATAAGAATTTCTCAAATATTTTGGGATTAAGTCAATTTTATTGAGTGTAAAGGGAATATATTTTAGAAAAGTAATCCTACACTAACTACAGAGTGTGTGGTGTTTTAAAAAGTGAACTATGAATTTAATTTTGCTTAGAATAAAACAAGCTTTGTATAGACTGTATTTTTCTCTCTAATACATGTATCAGAAAAACAGATTGTATTTCATGGTACGTATAGCAGTGGGCAGTGAAATGTTTTATTCTATTTTGATGTTTGGGTTTGGTTTTTTTTGTTTTGTTTTTAAGTAAGATTTTTCTTCCATTCTCCCTACAGATATTTTCCTACCTACACCAGACAGTTTACTTGTAAATCTCCATGAAAGCAAAGAGGTACGATTACTGAGAACATGTCATTAAATGTGAAAAAAATTAAAGAAAGAGGTTCCTTTTAAACTTTGAATTCATGCCTATATTCATAATATGTAATAACAATGCTCCTTTTTAATTATAGAAGTATTACATGTTGTTTGTTTGATGCATCAATTATTACTTTGTTTTCCTTAGTGTGTTGAAACTAAGCTAAAATTTTTTCTGATTGTTCCACTTCGGCTTTTTAGAAATAATAGAAAATCTCAAGCTTGCAAAATCTCATAAACACCTTTCAATCTGTTCTGCAGCTCATAAAAGACCTACTGAATGCATTACCAAATATGTTCACCAATACAAGAGAAACACACAGTGCATTGGGCCCTGCTCTTCAGGCTGCATTTAAATTGATGTCTCCAACGGGTGGTCGAATATCTGTGTTTCAAACTCAGTTACCATCTTTGGGAGCAGGGCTTTTGCATTCCAGAGAAGATCCCAATCAAAGGTCAAGCACAAAGGTACAAAAACTTCCTTTAATGTTCATCTTATGGGACTAGGGACTTGCCATGTCTTTCTGACTTGTGTAGTTCTGCAGATCAACTCTTGGGTTTTGTTGTATAATAATTCACTAAATTTTAATTATTTGATGTCTGTCTATGTGCATTTAAGATCACTAGTTTATACATGTGTGTATGGTATTACTTGTTTCAACGTGCATGAGCCATCTTTTGGGCCTTTGGTCAATAGCTCTTCTTCGCAAGCAAAAAAAGCTGCAAAAATCTCTGACACGGTTAACATCAACCTGGGTTTTGAACCAAAGCGTGGATATATTTAATTGTAGACTCAAAACATGACTACTTACTCTTTTTATGGCCTTGTAGTTTACAGCATCCAGTAAGTGCTACATGGGTACAGGAATGCTTATTTGTATGAGAATGTAAATGTCTTTAAATGTTTGTAGCAGTTACATTATGATACTTAGTAGCAGTTATGTTTGGATACTTTGTAGCAGTTACATTAGGATACATACTTGCAAAGAGTCATAACTACTTGTAAGTACAAACTAAGAGAATGAATGAGCATGAGGAAAATAATTTCTGCAGGTGGAAATTCCTATAAAATATTGTTTAAAGGAAACTTTTTATGATATTTTGGTACTGAATAGCATGTCTTTGCCACATAAAGTCATAAGAGAACACAATTGTTGTCTTAATTCTTTCCTGTATAATTTATTCACCAAAGGTGGTCCAGCATCTTGGTCCAGCAACAGATTTTTATAAGAAGTTGGCACTGGACTGTTCAGGCCAGCAGACTGCTGTGGATTTATTTCTCTTAAGTTCACAATATTCTGATCTAGCTTCTCTTGGTAAGGAATACCTCACATATGCATTCACTTTTCCACACTGGCTGTCTTCAGAAGCACAGGCTACTTCAGTAGTTCTTAAATCATGTTAATCTTTTTGTACTTTGTAAATGCAGCTAATGCTGCAAAGGAACTGGCTGAAGTTTGTACCAGTAAAGAATAAGTATTGGGTTGCTGGTATTAGACAATTTATTCTGGGATTTCACAGTTTTAAAAGAGAAGGTACTCTCCCTTTCAGGAAGAGGAAACAGTCAAGATGGCAAGGAAGTAATAAAGTTTAATCATGGGGGTAGAAAAGAGTTCTCATCTTTCAGTATTAAACCAAGATTTGTCTTTGCATGCACACTTAATTTTGCCTCTACACCATTGACTATTTCTGCATGCACTCCTGTCTTAGCAGTCAAAAGTAGCATGCTTACTTCACTAAGTTTATGATTAGATCATTGCATATTGGGGTGACTCATCACCGAGTCTGTGCCAGTTCTTGTTGTCTTACAGATGTGGGTCATATCAAGAAAAAGATTAACATAGCTGTGACTTGCAGAAGGTTGGACACAGTTTTTGTGTCCTGATTTCACGTTTAGGTTTTACTTCTTAACTATGTATTTTCTTCCTTCACAGCTTGCATGTCCAAGTATTCTGCTGGGTGCATCTATTACTATCCATCTTTCCATCATAGCCATAATCCTGCTCAGGCTGAAAAGTTGCAAAAAGACCTTAAAAGGTACCTTACAAGAAAGATTGGATTTGAAGCAGTTATGCGCATAAGATGCACAAAAGGTATGTTTTAAATACCGATACATATGGAAAAGTTGGTGAAAGCATATTAACTATCATTTTGATGTGCTTAGTGTTCAGCAACATGAGATTTCAGGTTATTTCTCTTTCAATGAAGAGTAGTAAAATAGTTGCTTTTATGTGAGTTATGTTAGGTTTTGCCGTTTGGTTTGGTTTTATTTTTACTTCAAATGGCACCATCTTGCTTCAACTCAGTTGACATGTCTAGTGTAAGAGCATCATTCAGTTCAGAGTGTCCAGAATCTAATATGAACTGTATAGGATCATGCCGAAATGTCTAATGATTCACATAATTGATTTTACGTAATGGAATAAATATTTTTACAATTTTCTTAAACATACCTTGAGGACTGTGGATTTTAATTATTGATAGTTTTTCATGCTACTGTAACCTCACTCTGAATTATTTAATCTACTTCTAGGTCTTTCAATACATACTTTTCATGGGAACTTTTTTGTACGATCTACTGATTTATTGTCCCTTGCCAATGTTAATCCTGATGCTGGATTTGCAGTACAAATGTCCATTGAGGAAAGTCTGACTGACACATCTTTGGTTTGTTTTCAAACAGCTCTTTTGTATACTTCCAGCAAAGGTAAACAAATTCAAATGATTGGCCACCCAGATTTTTTGTTGTTTCTTCTAACATAATGTTTGTATAGTTAGTTCCACAGCCTTTTGTTGTTCTCTGTACCCTAAGAGAAATTTGTTAAAGATAGGGAGCATACTTGGCAGTTAATCACATAAGGTGAATCTTTATAAACTCTATTTTGATGGGAAAATGTAATTTTTCTCCATTCTGCATAGAGCTGATTCAGCAAGATTCCTTTACTTCAAAGGCACACTGTTGCTATAAGCAATAACATGTTTGGCATGCGCTTTGTTCAGAATCACAGACCCATGATAGATTAGAGCTAGTTGCTAGTACATTGTGTGGGCATAAAGAAATAGCATCTAATTTCTATTGTGGAAGATGCCACAGAATTTTGGGCTGGAAGTCAATGTACTTCATTTGTAGGATCAAGACACTTATTGTGGATGTTATAAGCTAGTTTGCGTTATGAACTTGTGCTGGTGAATAAGTTGAATGCCTTAGAGCGCTACATAATTTGGACAGGTGAAGAGACAGGAACAGGAGGTAATGTTACAGCAATTTCCTAATTGGTGCATTTTCACAAAATGGATGCATCTTAGATGAGAGAAGGTATTATGTAATGACTGAATTTGTACACCTCTACCAGGAAGTACTGCAAAATGATTTCTACTTATTTTTATTAGGTGAACGTCGAATTCGAGTGCACACACTTTGTTTACCTGTAGTAAGTTCACTGGCTGATGTATATGCAGGAGCAGATGTACAAGCAGTTGTATGTCTCTTAGCAAACATGGGTGAGTACAGACCAGGAAGATTCAAATTTCAAATATCTTTTTCTATTCTTACTTTTGACAGCCATATAAGTGAAGTAGTGAATGAAGCCTGAGTATTGTAGCAAAAGGTTGGAGTGAAAGCCTACCAAAGATAACAAAATCAAAGTTATACCAAAACTATTAACTGAAATATTCCTTAATCTGAATACTTAGTTGACTTTAATAATTTAAAAAGAGCTTTATTAGATTATTCTCTGGAGTTTATTAAAGGACAAAAAAATCATAACACACTTGAATCAAAACTTTCATTTTTATATCATCATCACTGCTGTTGTATCAAACTTTAACATTCTGGGGTTTCTTAAGAAACAGTGATACAGTTTAGTGAGTTGATGGAGATGAAAAGGGAACCTCTGGCAACAAGGTATCTGAGATATGCATTAATTTTGCATCCATCTATCCCATCGTTGCTGGGTGGAGTATTCTTACTTGTTCCCTACTTCTGGATCATAAGTAGCTGTTTCGTAGACTGATCTCTGCCATTGAACATGTATGGCTCTGCGCAACATTTTAATAGCTGCTATATTGTATATTAATGGTCAAATAAATCAGAAGAAATAAATAGCATCTCATCTTAAATGCACATTTAGTCCAGCAGGTGGCTTCCTCCAACCAAAGGATTTGCAGCCCTTTCTCAGTAGAGAGAGATGAAGTTTCATTTACATTAATCATAATTATGCCACTGAAATAACAGAAGAAATTTCTTGGAACGGGGGGTGGGGGAGGAGAGGGAAAGTTGCTGCAAATCTTACATTGGATGCAGGAGAGCAGAGAGTTTAATCAATAGCTAACTTGTTTCCATAAGGTTTAAAACACAATTTATATTTAGTCTCAGCTATATACTGCAGCTTTAAACAGTTTTTTTAAAATTCCCCAAGACTAGGGAGCAGAGATCAGCCACACTGTATTTTTTAAGCATTGTGAAAGTGAGTTTTGGTATGGGCAGTCATCCTATTTTCTCATAAAAATGTTAAGGCCACAGCTGTGGGTTTGGGTTGGGTTTTTTGTTTTTAATTGTAAAATATCACCCAAAAGCACAACTGAGATTTTCAAAATTCAAGGGAATGAAAGAGGCCACCTGTATTAACTTCTTGTATCCTTCTAACCCAACAGCTGTGGATCGCTCAGTTTCATCTAGTCTTTCAGATGCAAGAGATGCCTTAGTTAATGCCGTGGTAGATTCCTTGGCAGCATACATGTCGACTGTCTCGAATCTGCAGCAGTCCATGCTAATAGCACCAAATTCCCTCAAGCTATTTCCACTGTATGTTTTGGCCCTTCTCAAACAGGTATGTGTAATCTAGTGGATTAATGTTTGCTACGTAATTTGTTGTTCCATTTGAGGAATTCTTCAGCTGTAGGTCAAGCAATGTCTGCACTTTTCTAAAATTATGAAAATTGCGTTATCCTCTTCGAGCTTACGGGACTTGCACATGAAAATCTATGCTAGCTTATTTTAAATTAGTGCCTGAGCAGTTTATTGGTTTACCTGACTTTGGATCTTTTATGTTTTGTCTTATTTTGTTTTACAATTAAAATAAAAATATATACATAGTAACAATTAGTATTTCTCTGATTTTGGCAGCTAATTGGTGTTGCCTATAAGGATTGTTGGAAGCTTCTTACTAGTACTTTTTCAATTTTATTTCACGAAGAAAAAACATGTCAAATATTTTTCAATGCATTTACTCAGTACTTTAAAGCACCAAGAAGGAAAATTAGCTTCCATGGAGATACAAAGAAATTTGTTACAGAAACTGAAGTGATATAGTTGAAAGTTCAAATAGAAGTAGTTACTACTTGGTGATTTGGGGATTTTTTAATATCTTTGTTTATATTAGCAAACATCATACTTAAAAATTGAGAACTCACTGCAAGATTTTGTTATGAATAAAATCATAATAAATCTCATGGCTTAAAAGATTTTCATGTCTGACATTTCTTTATTTTCTTATCATGAATAAATCTTTATGTAAGTTTGGCAAGAAATGGAATCATAATTTACTTTATTTGGCATAGTGATTACTTCAGTCTCTAATATACTGATTAGGACTTCTTTGGTACTTCCATAAGTAACACTTTTAATGATGGGTCAAAACCAGACCATTTATTATCAAGAGGTTCCATATGAAAGACAGAAGTAACAGTGGCTGAGAAAATAAGTTGTTTAGGTTTTGTTCGGGTTTATTATTATCATCTTTGTTAACAATAACTAAGAAAGCCTGGGATATAGAGAAACCAAAATTAAAATTCTTGTGGCAGCAAAGGAGAAGACAACTGATGTACTTAGCTTTGTTGTAGAAGTGAATATTAACTTTGATTATAGGAATATTTCCGGCTGAATCAGAATATGGTGCTTACTCCATTGTGTTGCTTCTCACAGTGATCATTGACTGATTGCTTCTAAAGGAGATCTGAAAAATCCAGTAGGAAAGAGTTACAAAATAAGTTTAAATCTATGAAAGCCTAGTTTCTGCTAAAGAACATGAAAGTATATTTCCCTTCCAAAGCTTTTCCATAACATTTAATTATTGCTAATACAAAATCAGCATTAATCTTATCCACAGAAGTGTTTAGTTCGGTTTTGGTATTTTTATTTATTTTTTTTTTTTTTTAGCTCTCTAGGCTTGTATCTTCCCTTTTATCTTGCATCAGTCAGTTTCACAGGCTAGTAACATATGGCAAGAATAAAAATGAGAAATCACGTACAAATTTTACACAAAGTAGGGGGCAAATGTATTCTCCATCATTAAGGAGGGAGAGTGGAATAACTTTTGAAAGGTATTATATTCAAGTTGTATTTGATTGATTTTTAATGTATCTCAGTAAGATACTTTATAAAAGCTTTGTCACCTTGCTTGACACTTGCAAAACATCTGAAATGAACTGTTTAGATCTGACATAAAATACAGGATTTATTTGAGTAACAATACTGTTCTCCTACAGAAAGCATTTAGAACAGGCACAAGTACACGCCTGGATGATCGTGTATATGCAATGTGCCAGATGAAGAGCCAGCCTCTTGTTCATTTGATGAAAATGATACATCCCAACTTGTACAGGATAGACAAGTTGATTGATGAGGTAATGTAGGAATTTTTTCAATAGATATTTTTTAAAATAAGCTTTTACCATATGGAGATGTGCTTAGTCTCTAGACTATTTTTTCCCTACATTATTTCCAGAATGCTTCACAGATTCTTAGTAAGCAATTCAGCCTATTTTTGTATTGGAGGGGGAAGCAGCTTTAATCTGAAAATACTGGGGATTTGGGGGGTTTTTAATTGGTTTTGGCTGCTTTCGTTGCAGGGGAGGAAGGAGGTGGGTTTTGCATTGGGTTTTTTGTTGGTTTGTGGTTTTTTGTTTTTTTGGGGTTTTTTGTTTGTTTTTTTTTAATAATGTCATTGCTAACAGCCAGGTTGTTTAATCAGATCAGTCATAGTGCTCTGTGGACAAACCCTTGTATCACTTCAGGCAGGATGTTAAATCAAAAAACTTTCAGTTACTTGAATACGTTAAAGTAGTGAACCTTTATGGGGAGTAGAATTTTATGTTTTTCTGCTCTTGCAACGCTTCTGGTGAAGTCAGAAACAATGTAAAAGTCTAAGGAGGTTGTAGAAAATTTAAGTGTTAGCACTAGAGTTCTTTTGAGAGTTTGGCATCTATAGCATGAGAAATGTTACATGCACAACTTAAATGAAATTGCATTAGTCTTTTCTTTAGGTAATAAAGTAGCCCTTAGGTTAAGTACATTCTAGAATTGTTTGATGTGTATAATCATTTTAGGCTTAATATGGCATGTTGTTACATGAGAATCCTCACAATTTTGCTAGAGATAAATGTTTTGGTTTTGTTTTGTTTTTTGTGGTTTTTTTTTTCCTGGCTTGTTTTGCCTGGTTAAGATAAATAGCCTTTATTTATATTCTAGTGTAACTGGGTATTGTTTTTTGTTACAGAGTACCATACATGTAAATGACAGAGTTGTTCCGCAGCCACCTCTTCAGAAGCTGTCTGCAGAGAAGTTGACAAAAGAAGGAGCTTTTCTAATGGATTGTGGCTCAGTAAGTTACCAGTTTCACACATTCCTCGGGGGGGGGGGGGGGGGGGAGTGATGCATGCTGTGTTTTTAAAAGCAGTCAACTCCAATGGTAACACTGTAGTGAATCATCATTCCAGGTAACCTGGCAGTAATCTGTGCTCCAGTGGAAGGCTTTCGTATTTTGATCAGAGGATTATCTTTTAGAGTGCATATTAAGGCTTCAGAGGTTTGGTTATTTTTGTTTTGTTTTCTTTTTCATGCTGGACTTATCAGAATATATACCAAGATTTCACATTCAACTTGGCGTTTGGGAGTGTGGGTTTGTTTGGGATTTTTTCAGTGTTGATTTTCTTCTATTTTCTTTTTCATTTTTGATATAATGGATTTCCATTTTCCAAAAATTCTCTTAATGGTTATTAAATTCTATGTTCTACAGTCTCCCTAAGAAAGCACTTCTCTACTGATGCAGGAATCTTCTCAGTTACACAAATATAAGGGATTTGTGGCTTGTGTGATGTAAAAGTTGCAAGAGTCCACCCTCCACAAATAAGTTATTTGTAGAAATTACAGTAAACCACACTTAATTGGATAAAGCATTATGCTTCATGAATAATGTGATAAAACATTATGCTACTCTAATGGCAGTCTTAGAAAGTGCTTTAAATCTTGTATGAGTTCAGAGGCTGAGTGTGAATGTCAAAATTAGCTTCTGTCTACAGATGTCTGAAATAATTACTATAGTGTGTTTTGATAATTGATGCTTTACTATGACTTCTTTAGATTGGAAAGTCAATGTGCAGTAACTGACTCAGTGGTGTGACTTGATATCTAAGGGGTTTGGGGTTTTATTTTAGCAGGTTACATGGGAAGTTGCCACATTAACTGTTCAATATAGATGTGTCGTGCATCCTTGTAATTTTTGACATTAACTTATTCCAAATGCTGCCAGGGTATTAATAAGTAAATGTACAAATAATATTATACAATATTTATTATATTATTAT